CCCCCCCCCCCCACACACACACACAAATGGACATTTCTGACACACTGAAACATCATTTCTGACACATTGAAACATCTTAACCTTTCACAGCTCGGAGGCAAATTTCAGAACTAAAAATGCAGTCCAGTCGCCGCTTAGATCTGCTAAATTGGCGCCCTAAAACTACACAAGACGTATTTGAGACTCTATAAACTAGTCCGGGTGTAAATGCAGCTTTCGACTCACCTCGATTATAGGCCAAAACGTTAAGTTGTACGCCTTTCATGTGGGTCACAAATCTTATCCGCACCCCGCCGTCTATGTATTGATAATACTGTGGGTTTGTGTTGCCACAGAACCTGTCCCGTCTATGGTTCGAATTGCTCTGGACGATATCCACGTATGCCAAAGTACATTTTTCGATCCATTCATGTCGAAATGTTCCACTAAACGATATATGGAGCACTAGTACCTGAAACAGAAAAGTGAGAGACCAAAAGTCTAAAGGAAACGAAAAAAACATCCTCCGCGCCATGAGCAACTGACATTATACACCCAAACCCAATATACATGTACTTGTGCGCGAAACTGGCTCCGAAAGAAAAACTAGCTTCTGTTTGAGATGTCAGGTGGTTCTTTCTGACGTCTGCTCGAGCTAAAGTTTAGATGAGGTGAGTTACAAGTGTAAATAAATCCATCAAATCCTCAGTGACGATGTAGGCGAAGTCAGTGATTTTGTCGTAATAAAAAATTTCATTCAAATACAGAAATGAATGTCAAAGACAGAAAAAAAATGTCAAACAAGACAATGAAAGGAAAAAAATATAATCGCCAACGAGCGCTGTGAGCACAGTGCCAAATACATTGATACCGGACGGTACATCATCATTTCAGAAAAATGCGGAAACAAGAGCTGAGATTAAAAAAAATATCGATCTCGTAAAAAGAAAAATGAGGGTGACGCATATCTGGAAAGGGAAAGAAAACGAGTTCAAAATACTATGTACCTTCCGCCTACTTAAATGACCGTGAAAGACAAACGAAACACGCGAAGACTAAATCACGAAAACGTAGACTTCACCAAAGGAAAGAAGAGCTCCTAGCTGCTATAGAAGTTGCCGAGGCAAGTCCACAGTAATCACCACCGGAGAGACTTGTTGTGAGTGCGAGGTGGCCACAACGTGGTGGAGATAAAAAAAAGATTAAAAAAAAAAACTGAAGGCAGGCACAATGATCAATTAAAGAACTACAGTCACATGTAAATGCCATGAAAAAGAGAGAGAATGCTATTCGGCAACGATTTAGCCATTGTAGGAAACGAAATTTGAATCACCTGATTTTCCCACAAAGCCCAAAATTAAGACAGAACGCACCATACAGCAGGTTATGGACCCAAGCTAACACTGTGCAGAAGCAATTACTTTTATGTCTCCTCCATCCCAGTGTACCACAAACTTTCATACTCCCATTTATAACAAGAAAGAAGGTAACAAAGAATATCGATTGTTCAAGATTTGGTCAAGCAAGGCCGCTTTTATTATATCACCCCACTACCCTAATCATTTTAGCAAAAATAACAATGTAGCAAATTGTTGCCTGTATTGAATATATTAACACAGCGACGAGGTTCTGGAGTCTTCAATCATTTATTCATCACTCACTTTTCATACAATTTTACCCATATTTATACTCTAATTCTCCGTACTGATCACGCGTGTAATTATGTTCTTTTTATTGTTTATGGCGTGATTTCTAGAAACTTTCCATTGTCATGTTGACTTTACCATAGAACATTCCCTTATTAGGCAATGTCTAAGCCTTGTTTTCAACTAAACTTATCAAAAAATACTGTTTGCATTACTCATACTTGCATCATGTCCAAAACTCAGTTATCATGTGATAAACAGTTGATCAAAATTATAATCTGTTATGAAATTAACCAATCACATTAAATGTTATTGACTTTGACCTTTTCCATCTTTTTCTGGCACTAAAAACATGTTCTACACTTGTTGACTCTCGATGAAACTTAATTTACACTCAATATCACTCTAACTTTTCATCTATTTAATTTCCCTTTTATTACTAATTGCAATTAGTGTATAAGCGTAAGTCATTGATTTTACAACAAATGTTATGACCTTAGGGATAAAAATAATATACATACTTGACATTTAATATGGAATATTTCAGTTTTAAAGGTATTCCTAGGTAAAAATGCGTTCTTAAAAAAGAAAAAAACTCTGATCTCACATAAAATATCTGACTGGAGAAGTATGAAGTCATGTGTGTCGCTACCAATTAACTGACTACCAAGTCTGTTGCACTGCTGCATGGTGTAATATGCAGTGATTTAATTGGCTAGTGCTCCTTTGGGCTGGTCAAAGCTTGCCTTTGATGAAGATAAGCTGTACCAGAATGGCGCGAAAAAGGGGCAAAATTTTGCCAGACAGATTATTGTGTCAAACGGAATGCTCTGTACAGTTTTATAAAGTTATGCCCAGACTGATGCACCTACACAGAGACCACGCCCAATGTATCGACATCTTACCACCAGGGTACAGGCCTCACTGTCCTTCATGATATGCCACCCAGTCCGTTTTGAATGAGGGGCAAATTGTCACCAAAACGTGTTTTTCAAGGTTCTTAGCGAACACCAAAATGGTTTCAGCAGGTAAGGATATCAGGCGACCACTGAGGAAGCCACTGTAAACAGCAAAACAGCGTAGTCTGTTTCTCTAATGAATTGGGAACCATGACCGTTTCTGGGTAGAACACGGAAACCGCGTAGGTTTCTTTATTGAGGACAGATTTCACCCGTACCGCTAAACTGGTCAAAACGGAGTATACAGATATCCTGAAGAGGCCTACGACAAGGCGTGTGCCACTTCTTAAGTGACTAGGGTCATTGACAGCGTCACTATTTGGAGTGGATACCACATTGGTGCCAAAACACCAATGGGAGTCATCAATGAAAACCTGAACCAGATTAAATATGCTCTGGAAACCACTTGACCATCATCTGATAGGGGGCACCTTAGGAGCAATTTAGGTCGCACGATGAGATTACCGGTTCACACAGAGCACTTTTAATGGCAGACTTGCAGAACCAAGGGAATGAGCAGTTACCTTGGTCATCAAAATTGCCATATTTGAACCACATAGACAATATGTGGGTAGGTCATTACTAGCTGTATCAACAGCCTGCATGCCCTACAAAAAAACTGAACCAAATTGGACAAGTTTTAACCGTTGCCTGGAATTTTCTTCCAGATTAAACTCTAAAAACCTATCCCAAGGAATGCCTTGCCGCTTGAAAGCTCTGGTAGCAGCAAGAGGGGGTCCTGCATAACAGCGACCATTGCTTTGACTAGACACTGAGATGAGGGGCCTTTGTGGGTCATGTAACTCTTTTAAAGACGACAATTTGGAAATATGGAGATCCAAAATATCNAACCATTGCTGTGACTAGACACTGAGATGAGGGGCCTTAGTGGGCCGTGTAACTCTTTTAAAGACGATAATTTGGAAAATATGGAGATCCAAAATATCGCTTTCAATGGTTGTCGTATGACTTAAAATAGGCAATGTATCTTTGTTTGCTTCATGGCGAATTCAATTAATGAACTGATGTCACAATGACATCGAACAGATTATCAAAAGTTTTTAAAACACGATTTTAATCCTTATTTTCATGTATCAGTCAGCAAAATAGGAATAAAACTGATTAATTATGATTTGGAGAAAATATTCCATATTAAATGTCAAGTCTATATACATGTATATATATATATATATATATATATATATATATATATATATATATATATATATATAACATTCAATAAGACTCATCATCCTAAAAATTATGATGACTTACAGAAAATGTTTTAGAAGCTACAGTGGGTCAAGTTTAACGAGTTACACCAAGAAGTAAGATGAAAATTTTGCATAATATAGTGGCTGGGAAGATTGCGAAGACGTGCCGTTGTCTCAGATTTCTTTCCGCTGCTACCACCCTGGCTGCTACTGGCATTTGCCGGAATCTTTGGTCGAGAACTCGCGAAAAGGGGATGAACTGGTCGATGGGAGTAACAAAAAAAAAAAAAAAAAAAAAAGGCAAGCTGTACGAGATTCCTTAAACGAGACGACTATAGTAGAGTCCAAGAGCGCCAGTAACCAAGAGAAAAAAATTCATCGAGCACGTTGAAAACACAGTATGAGCATTTAAGAAATCTTAAGGAAACTCTTACAAGAAATCATGCAGCCTATAAACTTTTAAATAGCGACTGATAAGGGCCATAGAGACCCTTGAACTCTAAAGTGATACCCGTTTCTTACTCTCACTCAATGGAAAGACTTAAAAACGTAATTTTGTGAGCCACTTACTTTTTATAGATGGAACAAACATGTATTTTTTTAATTCCTAAAAGTGCCGAAATCCGCAAGACAATTTAGACCTTTCAGAGAGGATGTTCGTAAAGCTCATGTTGAACGAATTCTCTGTTGTGTAGGAAATCCAATAGGTGTGTTGAAAAAGGCTTCGTTTAAAGAGGTCGTAGGTTTGATGTTTCTAGGATCTGTATTCCTGTACATGCAAATGATAAAGACGTCTGATATGTGGATCCTGTTTGTGTAATAGGTTATCACTTTTGATGTCTGAGTTACTTTTAAACACCTCAATAAATTCTACGAAAAAAAAAAACGAAAAAAATATCTTATCAATATCTATTAAACTCGTCTCCCATATCTTTTCTGTGACTGTGGAACATACGTTACAGTACGGTATGCGAAGGATGCGAGGTGTAGCTGGTATTGTAACTAATACACTCATTTGAAACTGTCAATGGATTTTAAATTCACGAAGAATATGACCAGTGGTAGAACTTTTAGGTAACAAAGTTTTCAATTCTCTATACAATTGACAATTATTGCTATTGAATGAGTCATCAACGTGGACATTGTAAAGAAAAATGATCTTTAGTTTGAAAGTAATTTTTCTAGATCTGGTCAATCCAAATGTATTTTCCTATCACTTTTCCATTATTAATGACTCATAGGGTTCTAATAGTGATTAGCTTGCAAAAATTTCCAGAGCGCTCAACTAATGATCGTGATTTGTACCAGGCGATTTAGTGGTAACGTATATTCTTTCTTACACTTTTTTTACTTGAAACGGCCATCGTTTTATTTGCTTACAAAACAGAAACACGTGGGCGTAAAAGTGGGACATTCGTGGATTTTTATTCTATACACATGTATGTTTCAAAAATTGGATAATACTTCTAATTCATCCAAATTCATTTTTTGAGACTTGACCTCGTGAAATGCACCTCTACATGTAGCTTTTCACTGGTAACGTACATGTATGTTCCGGTAACGTATGTTCCAGGTCACCTAATTTTAATATTTATAACGTGTTCTTATATATTTTGAAGTGATTCGATCATGTTAAATTAAATATGACGTAAGGACGTTTTTTATAAATATTTAAACCGTAATGGGGCTTTGCGTCATAGCTAATACTAGGTAACGTATGTTCCCTAGAAAAATTGACAAAATGTTTCATTTTGTTCAAGTACTTGGTGCAAGAGAAAACAATGTTTTCTTTTGCTGACCGAAAAATATATAGTGATTCCATGATAGTTTGACATTTCAGATATAACATTTGGAGCACGAGGGGGAAAATAATTTATTAAATGCTTATTTTACTGTCGGTAGGGTGTATTTTCCCCGTTTTTTTTTTAATATTCAGTGACGAGCAAACTAAAGTCGCTAAAAAACAATTAACTGCTCTATACAGAATATTTTCATAATTTTTTACAACGTTATACTTGTAGGCGATAAATTAAAGAATAAAACCTGTGATGATTGAATTTTCAAAGTGATTAAAACGTTTCCACAGCTAGACGTTTTGCATTTGTGACAGTAACGTATGTTCCTTTTTGGGGTTAGATGCTGAATTATTTTTTATTATTCGTGGTTCCAGGAAAGTGAAACTTTAATACAAACTTCTTCATGTGGGACCCTAAAATAATCAAACATAGTTTGCAATCTGTGCACTACATATTTTTAGGAACACGTCTGTGACATCATTTGCACCTCTATATTGGGTTCGGGTGTATAGTGTGTGTACGTATGTCTGTGTGTGTGTGTGTGGGGGGGGGGGGGGGGGGGGGTGGAAGAGAGAGAGAGAAACATGCAACTTCAGTGTATTTAGGAAGTAACTTATAAATTATTCACTTTGATACAATGACAATTCACTTAATATTTCGCATTGCATTTGACAAACAAAACAGCTTCCCTAGTAATTTTGTGGTGCTCAATGAAAAAGAAACGGTCCAGAAAGCCAATCGTTGGAATTTAGTATTTCGTATTTAATCTGCAATCTCTTAGAAAGGTGTGATTGAGATTGTTCTCGGTCACTTTTTCGTTATAGTATACGTCCCGGCCTAACTGATGTTTGTTTTCTGGATAGAATATAGCGTGTTATGCATTACTGCATAATGTAATCTGCAAGGAGAACAGTGGGGAAAATGAAATCAAAATCCGTTTTGATGGAAGATCCTCAGACTGTTTTAGAGCTTTAACAATGCCATCAAAACAATGCTGAAAATCAGCAAGAAAGTTTAAAAATTTTTACATGACATCTTTGTCAACCCTGCTTGAGTTAATGTTATCGTGTTAACGATGGTGCATCATTAGGCATGTACTTAACATCTGGAAAACAAAAATTCATGATGGTAAATATAATACTTGGCCCACCACTGAAAAGTATCGCCGAACTAAGTTGCTCTTTGTTTGAAATTCCTTGTGCTGTAGCTTTAATGAATGACTTTACCTGTCCCGGTTGTTTCGTTGTTTCCCACGTGCATGCTGAACTGTCATTTCTGGCACTGGTGTAGCCTACGCTGGCAGGTGGCACCACTAATCCTGACCCTTCCACACATGTATCTGAAATATTACACGTAAAACGTAATTATTTCCGTTTTTCTTCTGATGGAGAGCAACGTAATTATTTCCCTTTTTCTTCGGATGGAGAGCAAGAAAACGATAGCAAACGATGGGAAAACTCCAATAAAACTAATTTACCCTGGCCTCTTTCAATGATTTGTCCAACAAATGGTATGGTTCCAATATCGGCTGCACGTTTTACAACCTTTTGAAACAGTGCATTTACGACATTTACGGGTTTCCAAAACTGGCTAACTGAAAATTTTCTATGTAGGTGACACCAAGCTAGTTCTTATTCTTAAGGTTTCACACGTTTTCTGATAACTTAAATGTAAAACAGTGTCAGGATGGGAACGTCGAAAATAATCTGTGAAAAAAGGCTCTTTTAACTTACTAGTTACAGAAATGTTAACAGAAAAACTCGTACATGATGGCTCCAGTGTATTTTACCCATGTGCACGTAACTGAAATTGTGTTTTATGGAGCACCACTTACACCACTACATATGAACTCTGTTGACTACATTAATTAGATTATTCGCCTGGCATTTTAAAAGCCACTTTGGTTTGAAAACCCGAAAATTGGACAAAAAGAAGTCTGTGCACAATTCAGTTTCTGACAGGGATGACAGGGATGTGTCCTACAGTACTAGTGCCTGCATGAGATTTAGTCCAAATACTTGCAGAGGACATTAGGTCTTATTTCTGTCAATGAGGAACTTCATGTATTCAAGGAGAGAGAGAGAGAGAGAGAGAGAGAGAGAGAGAATTCAACTTACCTATAACATATTGCCCCAAACAAAAGTCAACCACGCCAAAAACCTGAAGCAAAAGAAGTTTCAAACATGTCGAATTCATGTTTTCCGTATATTCGCAACGACTGCGCTGTTAAACAGACCTCTGTGTTTGGTATCTGGTTCTCGTTTATAGTTGCTATAAAAAGAAAACGAAGTCAGTGCTTGCGAAAGACGTATAATTAAGCATAATGACTACACGCAGTTTCAAGCACATAGTTCCAACTCCAGGAACTTGAGCCGGATGTGATTGTGAAGCTTACGCATTGGCCAGCAAAATCTCATATAATGTGAGAAACAAACTGTCACTTTTTAGCTTTTTATTACTGACATAAATAATTTTAAAAAGAAAGCAAAGTTAACCTTTATGTGTTTTGAAGGGCAAACGTTTTAAAACAAGTTTCAAGCGTAAACATGCCAACTTGCACATAAATTCACAATGATTTCACTTTCATATTTAAAAACAATTTTCTTCTAAAACCGGATGTGAGACAATTCCAGGCGTTTAAGTTAAAACGTAAAAAAATCTATGTTGGCAGCAGAGACCACTGATATGAATCGGGTAAAAAAACAACTGATCCCTACTATTTGTAAGGAAACAAAAATACATATCGACTTTTACACAGACATCCGCGTGTAAATGAACGCTTCATTAATAGTAGTGCTGAATGACAACAGGCACTTTGCAGAAAAAAATCTCATGTTTACGTTTGACGACTTAACTTTCAAATGACCTCTCTACTACCATTGGCGGATTTAGAAGGGGGGGGGGTCAGGAGGGTCTTGACCACCCCCCTTCGGTTTCTGAAAAATATATCACAAATATATCAATTTTCTCCTCTTGAAATTAGAATTTTGACTAGCTAAATCATAGTTCTAAATCGTGCCAAAGGGCATTTTTTCTCTCCAAAACACCATTTTTATCTGGGCCGTTCAGCAGGCCCCAAACCCCACACCAAGGGGGTAATGGTCGGCTTCGAAATAACCCTGGATCCGCCCCTGTACTACGTTTGCATATGTAAACTTGTTTTCAGTGCATATGGAACAAAATTTTCAAGCATGTCGAATTCATGTTTTCCTTAGCATTTTGGAAAAAGACCCAGCCCAGTTAAAACGCTCTCAACATTTCACTGATCATAGCTCAACATCTGTAGAGTAATGTTTAATGATGTTCAGTGAAGGTGTTTTAAAACGCCCTGGACAATTCCACACAACATTTGTTGGAATGGAAACACGCTCGGTTGTCACCATGATAGGAATAGTAAACGAGACACATCCATTGATTAATTAATTTGTTAATTAATAAAGTCTGTTTGTCTGTTAGGAACATTTTCCAAAAAGTTATGGATCGAGGGATTTTGATGATTTTTTTCAGAACTGGTCGTAAATGGGCCATAGTTGGATGGTGATTAGTGAATCAATAAAATAGATGATCAATTAGGCCCCTACATGTAGTTTATCAATAATTCAATCAATTAATTAGTGATTTTATTAATACATAATTTAATAAATTATGAGAAATTAATGAGAATTTCATTTATAAGTTAATTCATAATAAATCAATAGTAATGGGAATTAAGTTACCAATTAAATCATTAACTAATAAATAAATGGCTCATAGTAATGAGAAGTGAGTTGCACATAAATTCACAATTATTTCATTTTCATTTTCATATTTTAAAACGTTTTTCTTCTTAAACCGGATGTGAGACAATTCCAGGCTTTCAAGTTAAAACGCAAAAAAATCTATGTTGGCAGCAGAGACCACTGATATGAATCGGGTAAAAAAACAACTGATCCCTACTATTTGTAAGGAAACAAAAATACATATCAACTTTTACACAGATATCCGCGTGTAAATGAACGCTTATTAATATTAAGTAGTGCTGAATGACAACAGGCACTTTGCAGAAAAAATCTCATGTTTACGTTTGACGACTTAACTTTGAAATGACCTCTCTACTACCGGTGGCGGATTTAGAAGGGAGGGTCCTGACCACCCCCCTTCGGTTTTTGAAAAATATATCACAAATATATTAATTTTTTCCCTCTTCAAATTAGAATTTTGACTAGCTAAATCATAGTTCTAAACCGTGCCAAAAGGCATTTTTTGCTCTCCAAAACACCAATTTTTGTCGGGGCCGTTCAGCAGGCCCTAAACCCCACACCAAGGGGGCAATGGTCGGATTCGAAATATCCCTGGATCCGCCCCTGTGTGTGTATATATATATATATATATATATATATATATATATATATATATATATATATATATATATATAAACTCTTGTTGATTTTTATTCAGAAAACCTCAAAACGCACATACCTTTTACTCGCAACGAAGGTTTTGACACCCGTTCCTTCAACATTCATAAAACAAGCAGGTATACCACGCTCCGATAAAGACTGGACTTGATCTTGCATGATTGAATTTCACTGCGTAACTATTAAACAAATCATAGGTTGTTGACGACCAAGATTAAACTGAAATAGGAAGGGGAGGAGATGAAAAATTATACTTTTACCATAGCAAAACTGCCATAGTATCATGTCCGTCGTACAAAGATTTTAATGTCTGAATCTGTTTGTCCTTCAAATCAAAGTCAATATGTGTACATTCTTTAGAAAAGCGCAAAGCTTCACAAAAATCAGGGGTAATGGAAAAATCACTATTGACAGCCATCTTTATGAACGGAACACTTGAGTGAAAAGGCTCAGAAATGTATGGATTTGATGCATATTCCTACACCTATCACATCCGAGGTTAGTATGGAGCTCGCGGAGTCGGTCGATTATGTATAGCTATGACCAAATCTTGTTTCAATCAACAACGCCGTCTTTAGTCACGTTTGCACGACCTATATCCTGCAACAGTCGTTCACTTTTCCGTTCATCTTTGAAATTTTACAAATCCCATTAGATTTTTTTTAATGTGTTGGTAGTGCGTCCTGGTACATGTACACAGCAAGCTTCCACCATTTTACTTTTGTACGTGCTTGAAGGATAAACGTTACCGGTTCAATTCAGTACAAAATCTACCAGTCATATCTGTCAGCAATGCAACATCAACAGTTATTAGTACAATTGAAACCTTCCTCGATAAAATCAGTTGCCTCTTCATGATGTTCTCTTGGAAGATATGTGAATAATATGCTCATCCAGGTAAGCAAATGAGTCTCTGCAATCTACTACTACATATAAAGAAAACAAAATCACGCCTATCTAGCAGATCCGGTAAGAATGTAATGGTGGGAGCTAAGCGAATTTGGATTTACTAAAATTGCTGTATAATATTTCAGACTCCATGTTACATAATTGACCCATCAGACAAATATAGATCAGATCACAAGGGAGAGGAACAGTTCAGAAACTATGAGGTAAAGGCATATTCACTTGTCCAAAAAGGATGGGAAATTTTTCACAGTTACATTGTACATTATAACGCAACCGATTAAATGGATATAATGAACGAGAATAAAAAGACACAAACAGAAATGGTTCAATAAATCACAAGAAAAATATTAGCTATAACAAATAAACATTTTTTTAAAATTTTTAAAAACGCAGAGATATATATTTCTCTCTTTCGTGTAATAATGACAAATATGTAAGGGTGTGCTTTTGTTTGTCATGTTTCCGAGATCCACCATTCTTTGTTATAGCTAATATTTTTCTTGTCCAGGGGGGTGAATTTATTGACCGTGTCAGGAAAACGTACAGTGAAATCCATTCGAAGCAGTGCGTTGAAAGTGTGATAAACAAGGTCAGTTTCATGCAAGAATAATTAAATAGTTTTATTTTCAGTGAGATAAATGAACAAAATGCCTGTTTCAAACATTTTATGGGACAGATATTCAGGCCTTTATTCTGTTAAGTCTAGGTTTAAGCATTATTAATTTACCATTGCCAAAAGTCAAACAACGCCTGAATTTCACAACCAGTCAGTAACATATTTGGATATTTATGAAATAAAAACATTTCCCTGTGAAATACGCCAATGTTTAACACTTTCATACAGAAAACTCCCAAATAGATCCATAAAATTTATCATAATTTATTTATTTTCAAAATGGCGACAGCTTAGATGTTTGTTTAATAGTACCTGCAACACGGAAATTCATACGGGTTTGCCAGAAAGTTCATGAATCATGATTAACTACAATTTTAAAACGAATTGTGTTACTCTTTTGGTCATCAGTTTGTTGTTTGTTTCTTATTTCTCGTCTCCCTTTCTCAAGTGAAAACTACTTTGTAATCTCCTTCGAGAATTTTCAGCAGACATCTAAACATTGAACGGAGGCAACTGGTTGAGATTTTGTTTCAGGTTGAATACTGGGCCAAGTTTGACCACATGGAAATGACCATCTTGCAGGCCGTGGAGGCACTTTATGCCCTTGTGGATGAAAGTGACCCTGATGTAAGATGTATTTCAAAACTGTATCAGGTGTCGTATCTTGTGACATTCACAGGCATCTTTTCGTATAGAGATTTTGTATACATTTCATTGTTTTTTTTTTTTTTTAATCTTAGTTGTCCTTTTTTAAAAGTGGCAATTAATGCACAGGCGTTTATTTGTTCATTCTGTTATTTAAAGGTTAAATTTTTGAATATTACAATATGCAATGTGTATGGGTTTTAGAAAACTATCCTTTTTTAGTTTGGGCTTCCAAATGCTATCCATGCCTTCCAAACAGCTGAGCGTATCCGCCACGCACATCCAGATCTTGACTGGTTTCATCTCATTAATACATGATCTTGGCAAGGTGATGGCCCACAGGTGATACACATTATGATGTCTACATAATATATTTAAGATTATCTTTGAAAGTGAGTTATCACTAATGCCAAGTTACAGGTGCAAATGTTTCACTCATAATTCAAATATGCTGTCATAAGCTGTTTGCTCCCATGAGCTAATGCATGTTTATTATGTGGGTTTACATACTCTAACAAAGTAAATCTAAAAGAACAGTTGTATTTTAAATAAAATTTATGTGATTTAGATTTAGGGGTAATTAAATTACATAAGTCACATAGTGTCATTTTTTGAACGATTGAAAAATATGGCACAATAAAATTCTTTCTTTTTAGTGTTTTGTTGTTGGTGACACCTTCCCAGTTGGCCGTGCATTTAGTGATAAAATAGTGTTTGGTCGGGACAGCTTTGAAAACAACCCTGATATCAACAATCCTCTATACAAGTAAGTTTCTATAAAATTTACTCTTATAAGACAGGTAAAGAATTAATTTTTAGAGAACTTTCAGGCATGATTCGTATTGGGGGATAAAATGTAGGGGGAGGGGTTGGAAAGGTTGGATCAAGTAATAAAAACGGTTAAAATAATGCTATATTTGTTGTTTGGGTGTACTATATTTCATTTAATCATGGTATATTGTTATTTTGGCATTTTGCTCCCCGAGGTTGAAGCGAATATTTAAAACGTATCGAAATTTACTCTTAAAGTCGCATGCTTTTATTATCTTGTTTTGTTGATCAGCACCAAGTTGGGCATGTATGCAGAAAACTGTGGCTTAGACAAAGTGCTAATGTCATGGGGACATGATGGTGGGTGCATATGTTGACTTCACAAATTCAGATTTTGTCATTCATGGTATTTAATCTATCTTCAAAAAAAAAAAAAAAAAAAAAAAAAAAGGTAGCAAGAAGGGGATGTCACTTGTAATGGATAAGGTATTTACTAGTAGGTTTTATTCTTTTTATAATTTTCTTTGATATTTCTTGGTTATACGTTTAGTGCGGTGGACTTCATGTTGAAGTTAGATTACTTAGCGCTAGATTTCTTTCATAACTTTTCCCAACAATTTTCACCGACGAACCACGACGTGGATTGTTTCAGAATACATGTACCGTGTCCTCTTGAACCATGAGAAGTGCTCTCTGCCACAGGAGGCATTGTACATGGTGCGGTTCCATTCCTTCTACCCCTGGCACACAGGCAAGGACTATAACTACCTGTGTAATGAACAGGACATGAAGATGACCCCATGGATAACAGAGTTCAAGTAATCAACTTCACAAATCTCAGAATTAAAAAAAAAGTTGACAGCCAAATTTTAAATCCATTTTACATGCCATGTGGAAAACAATAGCAGTTACCTTAAACATCCAAAGACTGCAAACAGCAATAAGCTGAAAATGTTCGTTGACAGTTCTGTTATCATTTGATTACGCTGAATCCTGAGAACGGCATTTTCGTTATAACTTGTGGCAATTTTTCCTGTTCTCTTACGGAGAAAGTGTTACGATTTATTTTAGACATTCCTTAAAATAAAGAACATGGCACATGTAGAACATGGCACCGAACACTAATATTTTCGTTGCTTTAAGTTTTATCATTTATATGTATCACATGCAATCTTGTTTTAAAATCAAAAATATTATCATTTATACTCCCTCGTGTACCAAGATTTTAGTTAAAATGAACAGTGTTGTAATGTTTTAAAGACATGTATATAATGGCCATAATTTTATATTTCAGTAAATTTGACTTGTATTCCAAGAGTGAAGTCATCCCAGACATCGAATCCTTGATCCCATACTTGATTTTTGTCTTACAACATATGAATTAGCATCTGTGCTATATTTTTTCAATCATTTAAAGTTAAAATTTCAATATCATTCGCAATAATTATCGTTGGAACACCTTACTATTATAAAATTAATATGTGAAAAAAAAGCTCCGTAACATTTAAATGATACATAATGCTTTATTTCACTGGACTTGTGAAGATTTTTTTGTCTATAGCTACTTATATTTGTCTGATCTTACCATCCAATATTTCATCTGCTTGCAGTCAGACTTCATCAGGGAATGAGGTTGTGACAGGTATGACAACCTGTCACTCCCTCTGGTGTGCTATTTGGTCAGATACTAGGATGCCTCTGCTATTTGGTCAGATCCCCCCCCCCCTTTGCCTGCCCCTCCCTTAGGAGTGGTAGGTAGAGGTTGGGTAGCTCAGTCCCATTATTCCGATTCAACTTGGCCCCATGTAAGCGGATGTTAATTGCTTCAAGAACTTTCCGGTGTAGATCTCGTGGATCTCTTTCCAAGATTTTTATGTCCTCTGTAGTTGTTGATGTTATACAATGCCCTGTCTGTTCCTGGTGTTGGCTGAGGGCAGATTTTTTATCATGTTTTTTGATGGATTTTTGATGTTCAGCGATGTTAAGGAACGTCCTGTCTCTCCGATGTATTTCTCTCCACACACCTGACACTCACACTGGTATACAACTCCACACTGTTCTCCAGGGTCTATTTTGTCCTTTGGGGATACTAGGATGCCTCTTAATGTCTGTCCTGCCTTATGGTGTAATTGGCAGGCAAGGGGGGGGGGGGGTATCTGACCAAATAGCACACCAGAGGGAGTGACAGGTTGTCATACCTGTCACAACCTCATTCCCTGATGAAGTCTGACTGCAAGCAGATGAAATATTGGATGGTAAGATCAGACAAATATAAGTAGCTATAGACAAAATAATCTTCACAAGTCTATTACAATAACATAGCTAATGAAACTGTTCTACATTATTTCACTGAATTTATACAGTAGAAGCATCATCAAAAATGGTCTGCAGCAAATTTGGAACTATTTAGTCAGAGTATGTGATGTTACAATCAATATCATTAAGTTTCAACAAAAGAACGCGGAATAGTTATGACTGTATGTGCAGTTTAGGGCATTTTCATTTTCAGTGTAATTTTTCCATGCAACATGTGTTGATACTCTATGAAAGTGTGATTCAGGAATTCTTTTCAACAGCTTTATAACTAACAATCAATACACGTTTTATACTGCTTATCACGATGTTCCCAAAGCAAACACTTGAATATATTTTAGAATAAATAAACGCTAATCCATAAATATATGTGTTGCGTTTCTAACTGTTATGGGCAATACAAACAAAAGTTTGATTAAAAATATATGAAAATTCACGGACTGTGACTCGAATGAAGGGTTGCAAAAAACTTTCCCAAAAGCGTGTATAGGGAAGACAGTCTGAAAAATAAAATTCCTGTATTGAGTTTAATACGTGTCATCAAAAAACATATTCCGTCACCTTGTTAATTTCCATTCTACATACATGTAAGCCCTATGTATCCCATTTTGTGTGTAAGTGGACACACTGTATTCTTAAATCTGCTAGTTTCACAGTTCAATCAATTTTTGCTCACTGATTTAAGAGAAGCACGCCAGAATGTTACCGTCTTTCACATCTTCGTCCAGAGAACCCAATCAAACATCGGCATTGATACTTTGAACCTATACCATTGTAACATGTTCCACCATTTAAACACGGATTAACCCTGCAGGTGTCTCCTAAAATACATTTTTATAAATGTACATATGCAAATAAGTAAAACAATATAAAGCTGGTCATAATTTACTGCTATGTGCACGATTATGAGCCACGTAATTTACTATAATACTTCACTCTATCTTTACGGCAAGCACATGCCAACTGATGTGTTCATATGCACTGTACATGCAGTATTTACCGCAAAGGGGGGGGGGGGGGTAGGGCACTCTGCTGTTAGGCCTTTTCACTTCGAGCGGTATACTTTACTGGACCAGTCGACTTTGTCACCTGCCAACGGGTAATTTTAATTTAAATTAATTACGCTGCATGGGATTTTACTTCCTTGCAAAAGTTCTCCACAAGTTCATATTGGTCTTCGCGAGCGCAGGTGCTAGATTAAGGTGACTGTCTTGCCTAAAAGCCAGACTAAAACTTTGTCAATACTGTATCTCATTAAAGCGGACGTCCGATCCAGTTAAGTAAACTTTTCGATATTAAAAGGCACTCGATTTGAAAAGGTCCCTAAAACTGGCTGTAGGTCTATTGTTTTTTGACTGAAATTGTTTAATTCCAAAATAGTAGGGACCTATCTTTAAATCTATCCAACTTTTCAGGACTTACGGCAAACGGCTACTCACGAAATTGGCATTCTGGCCCACCCCAGCCTTTAGCACATGCGCATTTGGCACTTCCTTCCACTTCCAAACAAGTGGCTCCATGTCGACATGAAACATTATCACACGATGCCATACCTTGATATAGAGCGAATGAAACAATATCTTGTTACAATTAGATGTTTCAACTACCTTTTCAGTCCATTTGAACTTAAAACGTGAAATGTGAAATTGCAGCTCAATTATTTGGAACCGATCACGATTGGTATACCGACTAATTAGATTTCATTGCTTAAAACGATTTTTTGTCCAAGGGCATTATAATAAAATTAAATTATTAAGAAAAAGTAAATTAAAACTTAAATTGAAAAACTCTATGGAAAGCTAAATTATACTGACAAACTAGGCTTTCGCATGAAAATAATACTTGCAATGACACAATACCGGATAGATAGGCCTACCTTACCCACGCAACAAATGCATGTGACCACACTTTAGAAACGATGTTGACCATCTCGATAGATTTGTGGCAAGTTACCTACCTGCACGGCACTGGTAACCAATGGGCGCTTTGTCTCGACATGTAACTTTCAGCGTTGGAATGAGTTTTTGACGACGTCTATTCTTTCTTGGTGTGACGAAATATCCTTCAAACAACTCATGCTCCAATTCTAAGAAAGCACTGTCTCTGCTTAACTTTGAAATCAGTGTTGAGATATTGGTAAAATGTTGGTTCTGTTCATCATACGTAGTCAAGTCCTCGAGGCTACGAAATGCCACTACGAATGAGTTTGGCTGACAAATGATTATGGTGTCTCCAAACTCGCATGGTGGGCTTACACAAAGAGGCTGTAGAGACTGCTTGAAGAATGTTTCCCTAAACATGGTCTTTATGTCAGTCTGGAAATTTGTAGAGTTTGGACAAGGTTCTGGATACGTAACTGTATATCCCAACTCGGCTGTCTTGGGAAAACGTGTTGCTGAAAGAAAATGGTAGATACTAAAATGCGCTTTAGTTAAAGGCAACTCAAGAAAAGAACGACATAAAATCTGAGTTCAGTTCCCTGTCAAACTGAGAAGCAGAATAATTTTAATTATTTATTATTAAAATGCCTGATACACATATAGCACGTCCATTTGCTCTCTTTCACGCCATGATATAGCTCAAATTGGAAAGACACTGTGTACACCGGATGAAAATACTCACATGTAACAGTCATTGAAAACCCTTTCTTGCTTATTGTAGAATCCGCCACAAAATAAATATCCACAGCGTCATCTATCAAACATTCTGGTGGGTAATCAGTACCACACGCTCGCAGCTCTGTAGTCTGGTTTTTCTTGAATAAAAATGCATATTAAGACAATAGGCCTATTCGTTGAGTTACATGTACTATTATGCCAAAACAAAATCCGTCTTAATTATGAAAAGCACACATGAAAAACTGCAGTACTAAACAAGGTGAGTATACTCACATTCGATTTTATTTCGAGGTAGTCGTAACGACAGTTGACTGATGACTCTAGAGCAATCTCGGTAACGTAAGCAACCAGATGGTCACCAGGTAAAGGCTGAACAATCCACTTGCATCTGACGTTATAAGGGTAGTCACGTGGGAAATGTGGTGACGTCAGCTTAAAAGGTACTTCACTTCCGGTTAGATAACCGCCACATATGGCTGAAATAATATTGAAAAATTATTTAAGATTAATTTAACGTGAGGCTTACTGGTATCACTGAAGTAGCAATGTACGCTAAAAATACTGAAATGTTATTTCCTTGTATTAGCTAATGCTTTTGTTCATTTGCAAAGCATATTCACCTTCTGTTTCTTTGTACGATAATCTGAATCGTCTTCCATTTACTAAATGGTCAGAATGATATTTGACATACACCTCGTTGGTGGACGTCAAAATATCACGGGGTAAGGCGTCACCGCAATAACGACCTATCAGAAGATCAGCACTAGTTGCGCCGTCTCTTATCTGGAAAAGGATTAAACCAAAGAAAAACATCTCAGCAAAGTGGGCAAAAATATGGACAAAAATCATTACTTCTGTTAAATCATGTGATCATTCTGACTTTCGAAAGGAATCTCCCTTTCACCAAACAAATTAAAGCCATTCAATAAATTTAAAGGAAAACAAATATATTACCTCCACGTATTCATATGAACAGGCTGAGTTTCCAAATGCTGGCTGCATTTGCAAGGAACTAAATGTTATCTTCAGGACTTTGCCCTCGCCAGCCTTTATTATCCACTCACAGTCCCGGTGCGGAGGGTTGATTACCACATCTGAGGACGATATCACACCTTCCCCGCCATTGCTCACACCCCCACATACAGGTGGGGCTGACAGGAGAAAGAAAAACGGGAAATGACGTTACATGACGTAAACATTAATTCCAAAAGCGAAGAACACAGTACGTTTTATTTGTGGGTGTCTACAAAGTCTCTTCTTCCTATAACCAAACGTTTTACAAGTATACACATTATACACAAAGCTAACTCTTCGACAATAACCTTATAGCGAAATACTGGTACTAAGACTTTCAAGCCTCGTACAATGCGTCACACACGAACGCGCGCACAAGCGTAATATACCTGTTATCGAATCGTAGACAGCCATGAAGCCTCTGCCACCTGTCGCATTGTTAGACCTGAATTTTACCAGAAGCTTATTTGAACTGCTCAGATAGGGCTCGGACATCATTTTGTCGATTCTTTGACGTCGGTCCACGACACCTGCAATGTCTGATGGTTCCAGAATCTCAACATAGTCACCGCTGTCACCGAGGTCGACGTCCATAAACCTGGGTTTAATACAGACGTTAAGTTGTTAGACAACAAAATTGAATCGTTAGTGTAAATTCTAGTGAATATTTGAAATGTAGGCAGTTGGGGTTTAGTCATGTGATCGAGCGGACTGACGCGCACTCAAAAAGGTCATTTGTCGGCAAAAAGTTTACATTTAAATTGGTTAAATATCTGAAAGTTCTGGTTTGGTAAAAAATGTCTTTGTCATCCATATATAATTGTTCTTTTGTAGCGCTGACCCCTTTATTCAGTACAGTTATTTTCTTGTACTTACGTCAGCTTGATAACTTTTCCACGTGGCCCTTGTATACGCCATGTGCAATGCTCGTCCGGAAAGTATGGCGATGGATAAGAAGAAGTCTTAATCATGCCAGAGGGTGACATAAGAACTTCTTCACATTCTGAAATAGTCACAGCACTTAAGCGTAGTATGAAGAAAACCAAACATCAAACATAGTAATGTTTAAAACACAGGAAAAAACTTGCGCACATTGGTTTTGTCTATGCAGATTAGGCCGCTATATTGCTGTACAGAATCCAAAGGATTTGCAAGTCAGTAAGTGATCAAAAATGAGAAATAGCCATGAAAACTGAATAAACATCCCCTTCTCAAATTTTATGAAATGTCACTAAAGCAACTTACTGGCTGGGCGCAGATTGAATGATATCCAGAATCCCTTTGATGCTGCCGTCCCTGATAGACGGAATACCAGACGCACCTGGCCAGAGGCAGAGAAGACAATACGTTGGTTTTCACTTTCTTTGCAATATTCACCCAGTGGAGTTTCGGAGTAGGGTGTTATCTCATAAATTGAGAGGCGGCCTTCACCGCAGCTGACTCCCTCATCCATAAGAAACTCCATCAAAGTCAAAATCATCCCCTGAAAATTAGAAAACTTTGTTAAGAATCCTTTCATTGAAAATTGACTCTAACTACGCATTTTCTTTTTTCGTAATAGATACGTAATGGAACTGTATGGTATCAAATGTTTCAAGTGCAGATTTGGAGCAGTGATGATAAGTCTCGTCTATCTTTTAAAAAATGATATATGCAAAAGTTACAATAAATAGTGATATAATAGCTGCTAATGTTTATAATATAACTACGAACTTGCGAACTCAATCAAACTACTGAAACTACAGTGTATACACATACTCTAAATTGTAATCTACATACTCTTTATAATCAGCTTGTACAGGAAGTTTTTTACACCGAACAAGTTATTTCCATAACATTTTGAATAAAATTTTCTCTTAACATATGCATGTTCATACTTATAATGTTTTAACTATAAAAGTTATCGTCATATTATTGCCACGAAAAGAGGTAGGACAAAAGAACTCCATACATTATGTCCACTAGGTGTCGTGACGATCCAATGACACTCCATGTCCGAGAGCTGCGCACTAAGTCCAAAAGGCATCAAGGACGTTGGGGAAATCAGGTGCTTTGGGAGGTACTTTGACGGGCATCTGGTGTCAGAACCTTGAAGTACGATACTTGGAGTGATCGAGTAATACATATAGTCTATGGTAAGACATTGCTGTTTAAGAGGAAACTGTTGTTCCAAAGGTCTTGTTGTTCCAAAGACAATGTCTTGTTGTTCCAAAGACATTGCTGTTCAGGGGGAAAGTGCTATTCCAGATTATTTTAAACTTGTTGCATTTAAAAAAAAGTTTCTTAAGAAAAAAAATATCCAGTTTATTCTCTGGACATATGTTTAGAGTATGTCTCATTTCAGAGGTTATCAAAGTGCATTATAATCCAAAAATTGATGTGAGGTGTCTGATATGAAACGTGGCAAACATATAGATAATAATTCTTTACTTACTAACAAAGTCAAACTTTGCCTTGAATCCCTTTCTTTCGTGTGTGGTATCTGACTCAAACACGACATGTAGTGTGCTCGTACTCGACCAAAGGACGGGGGGAATATCATTCCCACAGAATTTTCCAAGTAATCTACTCTTCGAAATTGTTTCGCCGTCGTAAACCGAGAGCGAATCTGCTGAACACAGTCGGAAATCTTCTACATCAATCTCTGTGATCTCGAAGCGGACATTCTGTCAAAATTGATACATGTTACAATAAACATTGTTACTTACTCTACATAGCATGTTTCAATGCCAAGTTAATGACACTATTTAGAACTTCAAAGCCATGCGAGCGATTTTTCTTAAAGGTCTTAGTTCAGATTTTATCGTTGATAAAGCAAAATAATACCTTTGTTTAATGAAAATCTCTAATGAAAATTAGGGGCTTATAACTCCAAAAACATTTAAACCAAAATAACGGCACGGCATTGTAGCCCATTCATTCGTGGTTAACTCTGCCAATTTTCGTGATAAAATCTTGTTCAGGAATGAAGTTACATCCCATACCGATAGCTATCTCACTTCATAATAAAAAGGTGTTAAACTGACGATTAAAGCTTTGAGTTGCCTATGCTTATACATTGCAAAGAGAAATATAAACGCCGATATTTTATATTTTCGAGGGTTTTAATTGATTTAAACCATCAAAAAGATGCATTATTGAATAATAAGATGCAGGAAAAAATTCATTTTTGCTATCTGGATGATAATAAAGGGTTACAATAACCTTAAAATACATTTGTATTTAGCTAATTGACTACTTTCACCTTCTACGGAAAAAATATCACAGAAATATGCACCATCTCCTTGCAACTTTTAAAGACCATGCTATTTATAATATTTATGTTTGAAAATATACGAAAATCATATTTTCTAAGTCTACGTATACTGCAAAGCTGCTATAATCTTATCCGATTAAACCCGATTCATACATGCACCTAACTACGATATTGCCATTTGAGGTGTGTAGAAAACAAGACAGTCTAAACGTGTAGTCTGACATTTCAAACTAAATGATTTAATTAGAATCGAATCCAAGTTCATGAAAGGTTCGAATAACGATTGAGATTTGATTTTTTTATTTTTCTAGAAGACTTGGCGCAAAATTGCCGAGCAGGATGCTTTTAGCTTAATTGTTCAGTAAATGATATGTAGAGGGTAATTCAAATGAGCTCAGAGTAGCTTAAATCCATTACACATGTACTTTATGCCTGAAATTCGAGGAGGATTAAAAAATGAGTCTAAAATTTCCAAACGGAAGTACTTGAACCTGGATTTGAATAACTTGCTTTTAGAATTTTAAAGATGTGACTAGATCACGCGAGCAAAGTTTGTGCTTGCGTAACTTAAAATTTTAGTGTCACTTGAAAGTGATTTTGTACTTTTCATTTCACTAAATAATTTTAATTGAAATACCTGATCTTGTTTTCAACCTGGAGGATATGTTTTACGGGATAGCAACATCTTTCCGATGCTATCACAAATGCGTCGCCTGTCCAGGATTTGTTTTTGCCAGACAGGGGGCATGTTTTAATACATGTATATATCATTAAAACGCATTTTACATACTCCGCCATGAAATTCATCCTGCTGAATACGTGATTTAAATACATCATAAAACATATACAATAGCCTAAATAAAACTAAATAAAGATAAAACTGTACGCGACACAACTTACCTTCCGTGGAGATTGACTAGTTATTCTCCAGTAGCATTGAAGGGAATGAGAGTAGTTGGCACTACCAAATGGTTCTAAGGTTCCAGGGTTCACAAACACTCTGAGGTTTTGCTCTGTTGGACAAGCTTCAAGAGTTGACACATCTGAAATGAAGCACTTATTATGTATATGTAATTGTTAATGTAAAAAGACAACGCAAGACATGAGCCTGAGATATTAGCTGATTTAGGAAGACGAAATGTTGACAATGCGTCAATCTAACAACGGAGTGATGTCCTCTCGCGCTTACCTACTTACCTGTCACCTCAGGAGTCCCAACTTGATCAGGTCATGCTTAGAAATCTTTCATTTGTTTCCAGATAACATGTGCATCACCCCTTCCGTGTTCTGGTGCCGTTTTTCTGGACAGTAGCTGTCTCTGTACCCCCTCCCCCCCTCCCCCCATCCACAAATTAAATTCACAACCGAGCCGTGTAAAATACGTTGATACATTGTACCATTTTCATTATCATAAATATCATTACTATTGTTGAATGCAGGCCGCACATCCTAGTAGCATATTTTTGCCGCTTTATACGTTATGTTGCAATTCTATACAGTTGCTATACATTTTTGACACACTAAAATATTTTACCCCTTCGCAGCCCAGAGTCAAATTTTAGAACTGAAATGCAGTTGCCGCTTACATCTACTAAACTAGCGGCCTCAGACTATAATCTGTTCGTCGGATGACGTTTTTGAGACTTTATAAATTAGTACCGATATAAATGCAGCTTCGTCTCACCTCGATTATAGGCCAAAATGTTAAGTTGTACGCCTTTCATGTGGGTCACAAATCTTATCCGCACCCCGCCATCTATGTATTGATAATACCGTGGGTTTGTGTTGCCACAAAACCTGCCCTGTCTAAGGTTCGAATTGCTCTGGACGATATCCACGTATGCCAAAGTACATTTTTCGATCCATTCATGTCGAAATGTTCCACTAAACGATATACGGAGCACTAGTACCTGAAACAGAAAAGTGAGAGACAGAAAGTCTAAAAGAAATGAACAAAACATCCTCCGTGCTATGAGCAACTGACGTACGTGTGTCTGGA